GTCAGGTGCTGGCGAAAAAGATGTGTCTTTAGATGTTTTTTGAAAATGGCTAAAGACTCAGCTGTTCGAATTGAGATTGGGAGGTCATTCCACCAGCTGGGCAGTGGGCACAGTCTAGGAAAAGGTCCGCGAGAGTGATTTTGAGCCTCTTTGGGATGGCACCACAAGGCGCCGTTCACTTGCAGAACGCAAGCTTCTGGAGGGCACATAAATTTGAACTAGCGAGTTTAGGTATATTGGTGCAACGCCAGTGGTTGTCTTGTAGGCAAGCATCAGTACCTTGAATTTGATGCGAGTGGCTACTGGTAGCCAGTGTAACCTGATGAGGAGAGGAGTAACGTGAGCTTTTTTGGCTCATTGAAGACAACTCTTACTGCTGCTTTCTGGATAAGTTGCAGAGGCTTGATAGTACATGTGGGAAGGCCTGCCAAGAGAGCATTACAATCAAATTAACAATTCACTCTTAGGCCCATTTTGTTATGACAATCCCATATATATCAGACAGACAGACAGATTTGAGACATACCTCACAAGCGTAGCCTGTTATCCAATTGGAATGGCCTCTTGTAGGGTTTCTGCACTGTATAATGTATCTTGGTTAATTTCAAATTGGTCAGAAGGGGGTGCAAATGTAATGGTGTGCTGGAGGAAATGTCCAGTACCTTTCAGAGAAAACCATCTGGAGTCCACCATCTCCGTATGATTGGAATGTCACACTGGAGGACACAAACATAGAGAAATCTTTAAATATCAACTGCTACAACATCATAAAGGTCAATTACTTTAACTGATAACTACTTACAGATGTAAAATCAAAGGGTGCTCCCAAGACAAGATGTACTGGAAAACAACAAAAAATAAGAATATTCTCCCTGTAAATGGCACAAAAAAAAACTTCCTTGTTCCTTATTTAACAACTAAATAATCACACCAATAACTGGTTGCAAACATGTATAGTATAGCCTAAAATAAATAAATAAGTACACAGGTAAACTATTATGCAATAATAAATTGTGAGTACATTAAACAAACAACTCAAGATATTCATACCTCCACAGACAACTGCATGTTGAAGTGGATTTGAAGATGACTTATTAATTTGACCAGTTTGGCTGGCTTAAACATGCTGGTCAAGCAGAAAACTGCTGGTAATTGCTGTATCACTTGTTGCACTGTTGCAGCTCAGGTAATGTGTCACCTCACAATCCTTATATGTCTCTACAAGAGATGAAGCCACACACAATTATCTCAATGATGACAAATGGGATTAAAATATCTAAACTACAAGGTAATATTAACAGTCACACAAACAATGCATATAACAGAGAAAAGTAAAGCAAACTATTTATTTTTATGAATAATAAGCGTCTTCAAAACTTCACCGCAAGGCCCATTTACAGCATGCATCCGAAAATAAATCGAAACATCCACAGAAAAAAGTTATATACTATAAAGTATGACAACAAATTCAAGTTTCAATATAAGATAATAAAGCCAAGCACACATTAAGTACTTAGCAGATAAATGCGATAGCCTAGCAATGTTGCTGTTTTCATGACTTCTCACTGTCACCATAAATCTGTTGGATGATAGTCACAGTACAGACACACAAATATCTATTTAAAATTGACATCATTCAGAAAATAATAAAACTGGGTTAATGAGTCAGCAAAGGCTTAGCTCATGAATATTAATCAGGTCCTGATGACCTAGCTTGGTAACATCTCAGTTACGTATGTAACCTTGGTTCCCTGAATAGGGGAACGAGATGCTGCGATGACGTCATCGCTTTGGGAACACCTTCGGTGTGATGAGATGTTCCCTCTCATAGGCTCACTTCGATGCTACGATGACGTCATCGCTTTGGGAATGCTATACCATAACGCCTGACGTACCTTAGATAGCTGGAAGACCAAGGAAAGCGTCTGCTCAAGCGGATAAGACCCGGGAGCCAGGAGCC